GCCACAGTTAACAGTTATTGGCAGATAAGCAGTCCACCATTTACATTTAACCTGGTCCCTAAAAAGAGAAGTGCACATAATTGGGAATGTGCTATAGTTTCAATGTTTGTCCCTCCAAATCTCATGGTGAAATTTCATCCCCAATGTTGGAGGTGGGGCCTAATGGGAAGTGTTTGGGTCATGGGGATGGATCCCTCATGAATAAATTAATGTCCTCACTGAGGTGGGAGTGTGCGCTTACTCTATTAGTTCCCTCAAGACAAGAGCTGCTTATTAAAAAGAGCCTGGCACCACCCTGCCCCTCTCTTTCTTCCTCTCCTGCCATGTGATCTCAGTACACGTGGGCTCCCCTTCACCTTCTGTCATGAGTGGAGGCAGTCTGAGGCCCTCACCAGATGCCCAATCTTCCAGCCAGCAGAATCATGAGGCAAATAAACCTTCCTTTTTTCTTTATAAATTACCCAGTCTCAGATATACCTTTATGGCAACATAAAACAGATGAAGAACGTATTTAAATAAAAATTTACTTGAGAATTTATGAATTAAAAATAATGTTAAAACAAAAATTATAGACCTGGACTCACCTTTGAAGCACTTCTTTCTGCAAGTTTGTGATTCTGTGTTATATAATCTAACAAAGCCTTCTTCATTGGCAACTGCTAGTATATGTTCCATATTGGGAGCTAAATAAGAAACAAAGAATAAAATATATAGCATAACACAAAATTTTTAAGCTGACTCAAAACCACCGAAATTATCTTCAGATAATCTTATTTAGAGATGGGCTAAATCAGGGGTAGTCCTCAACCAAAAGAGTGGTACTGGCAATAGCAAATAAAGGCATATGATGGTATCGGCCACCAGCAGGCTGAGTCTATCAATTTTAAATTTCCTTTTCACAACCTTTCACCTTCCCTTTCTTAAACTATTAGGAGTAGGGACAAGTACTTCCATTTCTGCTCATATATGACCCTCTTAGTCACAGGAGGAGATATTAATATATTCAACCAGACAAAAAGGGGTATGTATTTACTGAGTAAAACAGTTTTCATAGC